ATCATCAATGCAGTCGCAGTGCTGTGGATCATGTTCGTTACTGTGCTATTCTCGATGCCTGCTATCATCCCAGTAACGATGTGGTCGATGAGTGAGTAGCTTTTTCTCATGTGAGTGAGCTGAGGCACTGAATATGTGCGGGTAGATTATGCTTCTGTAGTGTTTGTGGGGTTCGGGATGATCAGTGCAGTGTGGTATTTGATCAGTGGGTTGTTTCCTTGCCATTCGGGAACTTCATGTGGTTAATGACATTGGTTCAGACGGCCAGTTTTACTACAGAGGACCTCCAACCCAGGAAGAACCAACAAGCTCCCCCGGATCCTCGGACTCTACTTCGTATTGAGAGAATTCTGGGCGACAATCACGGTGGAGATACTACTATCATTAAGCGATGGGGGTCGAGATCGAGGTGTCAGCGCATGGTAGCTCTTGCCTTTCGGTCTCCCATGCATGTGATTGTGATTATTATAGCAGTAAAGCCGTTGTGTATAGTCTGTAGACATGATGTTGTAGGCTTCGTTAGACTAGCTAGACGTCACAGGTTGGTGAAGAACCCCCGTAAAGCACAAGTTTGAGAGCATGACAGGGGTAATTTTCCTTTTTGATATGGCTTATCTTCAGTGAGTATCCGACTTCCAACGTTAGTGGAGAGGAGGGCACTAGCCATACGAGGGTTCTTGTCGGCGTTGCCCAAATTCGCCCCAAACCTCTGCCGGCTACATCCATGTTCGGACCTAAATTTTGGCTACAGTCACTTGACAACAGCCCACGGGCCTTATTTGCAACTTGAAGGAGTCTCTCAGAGGTTGGTCTTTACTTTGATGATCGTCTGTCATTCAGTTCTCGCTGAGCCCCCTTTCCGTCATGTATACATGCCTTGGTGGGTCACTCCTGCATGGTATCTTGGGCTTTCCGTTATGGGATATTTTAGAAGTTTTGCGTCGACCTTTGTTGATATCTTTGTCCGTTGCCCAGGTCTTGCAATCGGAAGTGTATGTTCCACATCAGCATCAAGTCAACATAAAACAGGAGCGCACGCAAACTATGTGACACATCCGAACGGTATGACCTGGTCTGACACTTTCGATTCTTCCAGCCTCGCCAATGCTTCATCGATGGATGCTCCTTCGGTCGTTGGCTCTTCCAGTGTGATCGAGGATGACTTTATCCTTAGGTTGCGCGCATTCTTCTAGCCTCTGGCCCCACTAGCGTCATCATTTTTCGTTTAGTGGTGAATCCCGACAGTTTTGGACAGTCTATCGAGAATCTCTAACACCTTTCTTATCTCGTGCATGACGCACTTGTGCCCTGGAATTCACGCCTGATGGTGAACCTGTTGTCTGTAAGCCCCTCTCCATGCTTTTCGTGTATTGGACTTATTCAGCTGCATTTGCTTGTGAAATGCCGATTGAGGTCGACCTCCATCCATCGGCCCGGTATTGCGATGATCACCGTACTATTCTGTCTGATAAACTTGTGTATCATACGTACGTGTTATTCAACTAACACCTGATGCCACTTCGTTCCCTGGACGGATTCATATGGCCAACTTTTGGCTTTCGACAGTGGGTGAAAAATCGCAGGGTGCTTGACAGTGTACAATTGGAGCGGTTCTCAATCATATGTGAGGATCCTGTTCCGAAAAGTGGTGTTGGGGACTAGGCGCGTATACGTAGGCGCCGTTACGATGCTAGCTCCTAAGTAACCTCATGCCCTACAAGTTGGCACTATATAAATTTCTCATAACCACGACGGTGTACTTAGTCATGCTGTATATATGTAAGTCGGTGTTATATCATGTTGTACTGTAACTGTTTTATAGAAACTCTTGTAAAGCCACAACTTGAACTTCGCTGCTTCTGCTCGCTTACGGTATCTATATATATCATTGTCTACCACCATTTCGTGAGTCACAGATTTTCGTGAACCTACCGTTACATCGCTTGACCCACCACGTTTCCACAGTAACTCGTGAAATGATGGGCACTCACGCGCACGAATAGACCGTAGGATTAGTACCACAGCACAAACGCGAAAAATACGGTGCTAGGATAATTTCTTATATTTTCAGAATTCCCGAAATTGTATCCGCATATTACCCAATTCAAAATAACAGCCTGTGTATTCTCAAAGACTCTTGAAATAAACCATATGTATTATTTCCACTCAGCGTGATGCATACATATGACATCGACGCGTGCACAAAATCACTGAGTCCCTCGCTATATAGCACCATCGTCAAGCTCATCATCCCTCGAGCACTGTAGCTGACCATGTCAATGAATCGTTACAAATGCAGCTGTGCATGCTGCTCGCAGCATCCAGACGGATTCATGTACCAGACACGGCAGGTTATTACGAAGCACGCGAAGAAGTACCCCCCTGTCTTGCAACCAACGGGTGTCAATACCAATGCTGATGCAGGTGCAAACCCGATGAATGATGCATCCAGGGCATCATCCGAGTCTGAGGGTACCGACCATCGAGAGAGACCGGAGATTCCACCTCAAGTCAGAGAGGATGAGTATGATTTCGAGTTTCAGCATATGGATGACCAACATGCAGAAGAGCAGCCTCGATATCCGGCAGAACAACAAGCACCTGTCCAGGAACTCCAAGACTTCAACTTCCGTCTGGTGGCATGGCCTGATGTGCGAGTTCCTGGCAGTGACCAGGATCAAGAGGACTGACTGTCTCTCATTCCACGAGCCTTCCAAGAACGTCCAGGTGTCCGCCTTGCCTATCTCAACACAGTCATTGGTAATGTCTTTGGAAAGCAGAGCATACAAGCTGCAACGGACGCTCTCAACAATCAGCTAAATTGCATGCTACTCGAAGGTGTACTACCTGAGCATCCGCGTCCCGTCCGCCATCTCCTCAGCACGAAGCGTTGACTCGGCATTGATGCTGACCAGTGGATCACCCAATATGCGATATGCCCCGAGTGCTGGAAGCACTTTACTCCTGCTCAGGTCAAGGAGCTTCCATCTCCCGAGTGTACTGTGCCAGACTGCGAAGGAGTACTATATGACAAATATACTGATGCGAAAGGCAAGCATGTCTGAACCTCCAAAAAGATCATGCCGCACATATCTCTCATCAGAAGCCTTTGCCGAATGTTCATGCAACCTGGTTTCGCAAAATCAGTGCGAGACAGCCGACAAGATTGTCCAGGACAAAATGAAGACGAAGACTATGTCATGACTGATATGCATGACGGCATGTTATGGCATGAACTCAAGATAAATACTGTCCGTGAGATTGGTGAATTAGGTACCATCCGTGACCGCCCTCATGATAACCAACCAGCAACAACGAAGCTTACTGAACATTGATATGGCCTGCATTTGACCTTGAATATTGACTGGTGAGTTTAAACATCGTATTTGCACTCGCTGAACACTTAATTTGACATAATCATGATGTAGGATGGGAATACTCGAAAATCAGCCCCACTCTAGCGGCCCTATCTACTATGCTATCAATGACCTCCCACGAGATCAACGATTCTTACAAGTCAATGTCATATGCACAGCAATCATGCCAGGTCCAAAAGAGCCAAACATAGTTCAAATCAACTGTTGTTTGGAGCCATCTACTCGTGAGCTGATGGAACTCAAGAATGGTGCGAAGTGTTGAATGCTAATTGTATGCTCACTGTTTGAACTTATCTAGGGGTCAAAATGGATGTTTACGGAGAAGAGGAACTTGCAGATGTATTTGCAGATAATGAAGCCCTTGCTTGTGATATGCCTGCCTTGCATAAATGTAATGGAACAGCTGGACATAGTCATGACTTCCATCCATGTGCGTTTTGTGATGTCAACATCATCAAAATCAATACTCCCGAAGGCTACAACAATTGTAAGTGAACTTTCACACACATGATCCCCATTGACTTGGTGCATAGCGTGGACTGACAAAAATGATTATCATATGCTTCGTCAGAGCTTCTACTCTAAGGATGCTACTCCCACTTGCCAAGAAGCGATCTTGCAAGACCATGGAGTTAGATTTAGCATTCTCAATGTCATTTCAGGCTGGTTACCATTGAGAAAGTCAGCTCTTGACTTTATGCACTGTATCTTCCTTGGTACATGTTTATTTCTTCATTCTGACATGCCTACATCTTGATTGATCAAGGAATCATTTCGCACCTATTTATGTGTGTGTTGTTTGGTGGATATATGTTCTTGGGCATGGGTGGTGTCAATTCTCCGAAGCGACGCTTTGAAGACATAATTAATGCTGTAAGATGGCCTAGCCATGTCACTCAACTGCCGAAAAACGTATGTGTTTGCCTTGATAGCTGACTTACTTCTTATCTTTGTCCAACATCAGCTGGGTGAAAACCAATCCCTCAAGAAGGCTGACAAGTGGTGTTGTCTTCTAATGATCACCCTGGACATTCTCTGGTGGTCTTGGAGGGACACTAATGATGAAATACCAGACACCGAGCCTCCTCTTCCACCCAACACTATAGCCCTGGATTTTTCCCGTAACTGCCACTCGCTGTATAAGGCCATTCTATTCCTGTGCACTGGTGTCCAAATTCTTGCATCCTGCATGATCTCTATGGCTCAGGCTCGCACTGGTCAGAGCTTTCTAGCCCATTACTGCTTGGAATGTCTGCAGCTTTGCATCCCACTCACCATCAACCATCAAGCTTTGATGCATACAGCTGATATGATAAAGAAGTTTGGTCCTGTATATGCCTGGTGGCTCTTCATATTTGAGCGGTTCAATGGCATGCTGGAATGTGTTCAATATAATGGTCATGATGGAGGACGGATTGAGTTAATTCTCTTACAGAACTGGGTCCAAACTCATCTCATTTATGAGTATCTTCTGGCTCTTCCTGCTGACACTCATTCTTTCAAATGAGACCAGATTAACTGCATTACCAAGGTACAAGCTCAAGACCGTGGAAGTATGATGATGCAGATAGCAGTTTACCAGAGTGAAGCTGCTGAAGGTACATGTTTATTCTTCACACCAATCTATCAACTGATGCTCATTTTCCATCAGACAATGTTAGGTTACCACTCTGTAATGCAAAATTGATCAATCTCCGTGCATATGGCTCACCTCAAGGAGTATTCTACCCCATTCTTCTCCAGTACTGTCATTCTCTATGGCCTGACCTTCACCTGGTTGATGATTTATCATGCGACAATGGCACCCCCTTCTATGTGAACAAGGTAGCTCGTGCACTCACATACATTCGCAAAGACGGCATTCATTATGGCTGCACCATGAATTGACACACACATGCTGACTCATTTGCATTCATATCACAAGGTAGAACACGTGTCCCTGTGCAAATCACGGCATTATTTGTGGTTGGTGTTCTTGATGTCATCCCTCATGTTTGTGCAGTGGTGTGGAGATTAGTCTCTGATGATGACATTCCTGCAATGCCATGGGATCTCTAGTAAGTCTTTTGGTTAGCAGGGACAAGTGCTCATATATTTTCAGTGCATCTACACTTGGTATCCATGTCCCCTACACTGAATTGGGCCCTCAGGAAGTGGTTCCAGTATCACGAATCAAGTGCCCACTGGCACTAATTTCAGTGCACTTGAATGTCCTCAAAAAAGATCTGTGGATCACCGTCTCATTTGACCATGTAAGTTTACAAACTGTACTCTTGTACAACAGTCTCAAAAAATTTGTAGGCTGGGAATGAACCTGAAGACTATTTAGAAGACAAAGATGGAGAGTAGATAAGGTGCGCACTTTTCGTCATATCTAGTCACTGAACTCGTCATCCAACTCTGCAGCAGGAGGCAGCTCACAAGCTGTGCTAGTACTTGCTACTGGTTGTGCTGGGATGCTCTCTTGTCCCTTCCCTTTGTCAGTTGTGGCCTTTGATTTACCTTTACCTTTCTTTGTTCCATTTTCCTTCTTCTTTGCCTCCATCTCCTCAATTTTCATGCGCTTCTTTGCCACAATCACCCTCTTCTGTTCCTTCACTCACTTCTACCCTGCCAACATCTCCTCAGGGTCCTTTGGATCACCCCATGCATGCCCATTGTCTAGGAGAAAGCTAGGTGAGTCATACTTCTTGTTTTCTTCTCTCGCAAGCCATTCCACTGATACCATCCATCGGCATGCTTGATTCTCAATTTTCTTCGCAGCTAAGAGCGGGAGTTCTTTCGAGTCACCTTTAACCTGAGTGGTGAAGCGAGGTGGGGGGTGTGGATCTGCCACTTCATCAACAGTGGCCAAGAACCTTGACATCTACAATTTTGATCAGGGTCAGTGTCCATTTTAACTGTCATCATTTTACTCACAAGGTCACTTTGATATGTTCCAGCATGGGATATAAATTGCCCCATCTTTTGCCCCTGCTCACTCACCTCATCCTCATCCTGTGACATCAAGGACTCTGTGAGTGCTGCTCGATATTTCTCATGCCTGAACTCTGAATCCTCTGGCAGATTCTCATATTTGTGTATATGCACTTCAAGTTTCTAAGGTACACAGGTGAGTTCTAGTTCATATTAATGGCCCATGACTTACTCCTCTGGCATGACTTTGCAATTTGGCGCATGAAGTTGCCGTTACAGCTACAGGCTGAGCTGAAGGCCCAAGCAGATCATCTTCAACAGTACTTGCTGCAGCTGTCAGAGGCACCACTGGGTGTCCAGACAACCTGCCTGCCTTCCGCAAGTTCTTCTGTAAGTCTTGATATTTCTTCACCACATGGGCACACAGGTCTTTGTCACTGATATCGCGAAGAGCAGGACCAGTGCCAGCACATACAGTTGCACTGTGTTGATGAATGTAAGTGATGATGTGCAGGATGTTGGCGTGATTATCTGAATGCTGATGGGATTCAGTCCAGCGAAAACGCATCAAACGCTCATTGGTGGCAGGATTGAGCAGCCACTTATTTTTGTCACTTGGATATGAAGGAAGCGCATCAATGGTAAGCTTTGTGCTTCCCATCAACATCTGAAACACAATGCAAACAACCACCTGAATGATGTCTTATTAGTGTACTCTTCACATACTGGATCCACTAATTTACTCACCTTCAGACTATTGTCGCCGAATGCAAGGGCACTCTTTTCAAGCTTCTCGACATCTTTCTCAAACTCCTCATTGGTCTCAGCTTCAAACCCATCTCCTACATCAACTTGACTCTTACTTGCAAGCAAACTGGCAACTTTCTGCTCAAACCGCTCCTCCAGACTCTTTATCTCAGCCTTGAACTCAGTCTTTGCAGCCTCAACATGCTGAATGCATCTAGTCTCCACCACATGCAGTTTGTTTGCATGTCACAGCTCCAAGTCTTCGGCTTGGGCCAGCCAGCAGTTGAAACTGGTCATCTCACTCAAGACTTGAGATATTTTTATCGACTTTGGTGGACCGCTGGTGTTCTGTGCTGAGCTGGTGCCTGTTCCTACACTGCCTGGAGCTGTAGTAAGTTGGGGATCTATGATGGGAATGACTGATGCCAGCTGCTGGAACTCATGCAAAGATGACCCTGGTGTCAGCGCTAGAACAGACATTGGACACCCATCCAACATTCCTGCAGGGCCACCTTGGTACATAGCCCTTCCCATCTCATGGGCACCAACCATTCCACTGTATGCATGGCCTGCTGGTGTGCCAGGATGGCCATACAAAGGAGGGGGAGGATTGAAGTTGAAGTTATACTCGGGGCTCAACATGGGACATTGTGGTGGGGACTTAGATGTGTCATTCCGCTCAATAACCTTGTCATCCTTATGTGCAACATGTCCCGGATCATTCTTCCTTATAATCAAGCCCGCTGCACACAAATTCGAGCTGCTGTGTGTGATTTCAAGCTACCGTCGAAGCGTGATTGTTGTGTGGTGTCTACGTATGGAAATATTGCGTGAATTGTGGGGGAAATGTAAGGTAAAAATGTGATAGATTGTGGGCAAAGCGTGTAATTGTTGGCAGATTGCCTGATGAGCGAATGTACCAGAAAACTTCGTGATATTGTGGTATATTTTCACGCTTCACCAACATTTTACCCACCTCATAATTCATGCGTTTGTGCTGTGTACCATTGTGGTCACGAGGTGCAGTGTTTTCACGCCGATATATTTTTATTGAAAGGATACAACTCGCTTATCAGCCGCTCATGTGTATGTAAGAGTTCCATGAGTACGATAGGCAATTATTATTCCCAAGGTGGCATTCTGTTCGCATCCGAAGCAATATATGCTTCGCCCTTGCATATCGGATGCTGCTATCTTTCATTGTACCACCACGATGAACTTGAAAGATTCAGTCGATGTGGATGCTGTCGCCCGTGTCGGGCTGGAGAAGCTGGGCTACAAGCAGGAGATGACACGGGTTTGTGCTTGTTCTTGTTCCTTTGATTCGTATCTCATGCCTATTGGTCGTTGCTAGTCTAGGGGACTGGTACATATATTGTTCAGTGAGTAGGGTGCTCTTCTCGCTGTGTTGCAGAAATTAAAATGCATTCCAAAAGTGACGCTAGGTCAGTCTGTCAGTTCAAACGAAGACACCCGCTGAGCTGTTGGTTCAACGGTTCAATTAGCAATCATGGCAGTCCGTACGTTTAAGCAGCGATCTCTATCAACACTACGACTTACCCTCCCCGTAGCATATGGTCTTGCAGCTCCCATCGCGACATCGCTCATTGGAGGTGGCCCAGCAGTAATGATATGGGGGTAAATCCACCCTTTCCAGCTCAAACACGATTTGACATGGTGCAGATGGATCCTGGTATCAATCTTGACCCAAACGCTCGCTCTTTCACTGGCGGAGATATGCTCCAAATATCCCACATCAGCAGGGGCATACTACTGGTGTTATCGACTTGCATCTCCACACACCCGGGTTCTCGCTTCTTGGATCAATGGCTGGTTGACAGTCGTTGGTGTTTGGACTATTGCTCTGAGTGTCACATTTGGTATTCCTTCCTGCGCACATCGCTTCCGAGTATGACTAACAGTCTATCAGGAACTGCTCAACTTGTTGTGGCTGGTGCCGGAATATACCACCCTGAATGGATTGCAACGGCGTGGCAAACATGCAAGGCTTCATGTATGGTCTATAGGTCAATGTGGCTTTCTGACTAGTCTGTGACTCATTCCAGATGTGATTTTCCTCGGCGTGACTGCTGTTGCCTTCTTGTTCTGCCTATTCTTCAACAAGCACCTGCCGACCATCGATGTAAGCTCTCGTTTATGGATTTTCTCTGGGATTAATACGTTTCCAGATCATTTGTGCTTGCTGGACCGGCTTAGGCATCATCGGTACGTTTTGCATGTAACTCGTCCCTGTACGCTGAGTTGAGTTATTTGAAGTAATCATGATATGTTTGTCCACCAAGGCCGCGGCAGGGCGCCATTCTATCACGTTTGCGCTTGGACATTTTGATCCATCTTATTCAGGATGGACGCCTGGGTGGTCTTTCTTCATTGGTCTATTGCCGGTATGATCACCGTCAGATTCTGAATTCCTTACTCGATACTAACAATGCATTCAACAGCCTGGTGAGAGGTTATTATTCATCGAGTTGTAGGACTCGGAGCTGAACAACGTCCTAGCATATACATACGCCGCTATAGGAATGAGTACGTCCATGCCTTTGTATCATGTTCACTGACTTACACCATGAAACCAGTTACCAACATGGCCGAAGAGGTTCATAACCCCTCTGAAATACTCCCAAAGGCTATCACCTGGTCTATACCCATTGGCACGTTATCCGGTGTGGTATTCCTTCTGCCAATCCTTTTCACGCTCCCAGATGTTGCCACATTGCTCCAAGGTTAGTTTCATGCTAGAGAAACTCGTGCTTCTCATGTATATATGTCAACCAGTTTCTTCCGGTCAACCCATTGGTGTTATGTTTACTTTGATCATGGGCTCCAGGGCTGGTGGTTTTGGGATGGTGAGTTTGTCGTGGCCTTACGTCCGGCGCCGCATCTCTGATTTGGCGGGGTATTCAGTGGTTCATTAGTACGTCACAACTGGTCTCTATCGAGTAGCCTCACCCTCTTAACGCACTTTTCGAAGTATTTGGTATCGGTATGTTTTGTGCGATTTCCATATCTTGCGCCGCTTCTCGCGCAACATGGGCTTTCGCACGCGACAAGGCTATCCCATTCCATCAGTCATTCTCAAAGATCAGTCCGTACTTCGACGATGTCCCCGTCAATGCACTCCTGCTTTCCACTGTCATCCAGATTCTCCTTGGACTCATCTACCTCGGCTCAACAGCTGCGTTCAACGCTTTCGTAGGCGTCGCCGTCATGTGTCTTGGAGCGTCCTACGCCATGCCCGTTGCCATCTCACTCATGAACGCCCGGCGAGACATGCATGATGCCCCATTCAACCTTGGCAGGTTCGGTACCGTGATCAATGCAGTTGCAGTGCTGTGGATCATGTTCGCCATGATACTATTCTCGATGCCTGCTGTCATCCCAGTCACGAAGGTTTCCATGAGTGAGTGTCCTTGTCTTGCGTGGGTGGGCTGAGGCGCTAAATAGAGTCGGCTAGACTATGCTTCGGTAGTGTTTGTGGGATTTGGAGTGATAAGCGCTGTGTGGTATTTGATTAGTAGGTTGTTTGTTTGCACTTTTGGGAACTTGCTTACTGTGGTTCAGACGGCCGGTTTTTCTATACAGGGCCTCCCATCCCGGAAGAGTCCACGGGCTCCACGGAGTCCAATCGGTCGACCTCCCCACTTCGAAGGTGATCCGAAAAGCCGAAAGTCTAAACCATGTCATGGTTTCCACGCTATTACAGTATCACTTCCAAACTATGTACAATATATCTTGGATGTCCTGCTCCAGCTTTGATTGCGATGAATCACATTCAGATTCTTTCCTAAGTAATGGTGACAAGTATTAGAGGGTATGAGATATCATGCAAAGAGTGTCAGCAGCAGGAAACATGGTATAACGATAGCAAGCAAGTGCAGTGAAGTGATATGGTTTAAGGGGAGTTCATCCAAGTAATCACGCCCCATTTCACTACGCGCGTAGTTTCGGGATCACTTTGACCATCTGGTCTATGTTGATGAACTGCACCCAAGCCTCTAAATCTTTCGCGTTATCATGCCAGATGAATTTGGACTCCTTCGTGCCCCTGAAGAACGCGCATGCGCACTGATACGATTCTTCGAGCATGACCCCGCCCATGCGTTGTACGCCTAGTTGGGCTTTGAACACACGGAACTCCCACCCCTGCAGTGGGTGGTCATCACCGCGCGCAGACTCGGAGGGAATGTTGAATTCGAGGCGTGACCAATCGAAAGCGGTACTCTGGCCAACGGCTTTGATATATGCCGCTTTGAGCGAGAGGAGGATGGAGAGGCGCCGGAGGACGACTTCGTCCCCGAGTTCAGGGCTGAGGAAGGTCATCTCTAGCGGGGTCAGCTGGTTCCGGTCGCTCGTTAGCCTTGTGATGCATTGTGCCTGTCTTTGAGCTTACTTTATGTGCAAAGGATTCAGCATAGGCCGCTACTGAGACACCTTTGGGCTCTACGGAAATCTGTTTAATACCCAAGCCGATGTTGATGACTTGGCGCTGCCGTCCCTGCGTCATCACCATGCCGCAGAGTGAATTGTCGTATGCAAGGTGATATCCAATCATGGACTGTAGAAATTTTTCTGGGGGCATGTCATCCGGTGACTGTTGTAGGGGAAATACAATGATCATCGATGAGTTATGCTACTGAGAGTTGATAACCACCGCTCACCTGCTCGATCCAATGCTTTCCATTCGAGGTGACGCAGTCTTTCCATTTTGCGCGCGATATTCGTCGGTGGCGCATCATGAGCAGGGGTAACATGTGGCAAATAAGCTGTCCTACGGAGTGTCAGAACAAACCAAGCAAGTAGTGGAATGGTACTCACGGAAGGAATCTATAGAAGTAGGTTGGTACGGCAGTCTGGCATGAGGGACGCAATCTTGTACAAGGTGAAAACATTTGTCGTATTCCTGCGGAGACAAGGTTAGACGCTGTATTATCTACAATAATATTCATCAAACCTCTGTCAATACATCACGATTCAGTGAGAGCATCCAGACGAGAAGTGGACAGTCCATAGCCATTTGTTTCACAGGGTCTGAGAGAGAATTCAAAGAGTCTATTGCTACGGGCGGTGGCGCCGTTACTGAATGAATGATTGCGTGTAGCGCACCTGAGTGATCTTGGGCTACAATTGGGCAGTAAATTTGCAGGATCCTGGTGCTAGCCACGAGCCAAGTCTTCAAATTTATCCAGGAAGCAAGGTGGAGGCCACGGAGGGTACACAGCAATTGCGCACGCTCTGGCACGGTAGGTTCATTATAAGGTGATCGCTAGCCTAACAAGCAAACCGCACAATTTGGGTCGCCACGTGCCGGGCCACCAGAATTCTGTTTCTTTTTCATCTTTTTTTTTTGAATCAAGTTTCGTTTCATGTGAACAACTCGAAGGCACTGGAAAAAAAACTCATCTCAGCCGTGCTGATCAGTACGTGTTTGACATCTGTCGTTGACAATATCTACTCGGAGATGAAGAATCAAGAATGATACTCTTTGGCTTATCTCTCGAGTTTGCAGTTGACCGCGTGCTGCATTCTGGATTGTGCTGTCCCTATCCGTCAGATCTGGCTCCAAGGGGGCTGTCCTATGGAGGGACACATCCTCCCATGATTTCCACTCACTATTTGAACCCTAGCGCTACCCATTACGGGAGGTTACAGGGTATCACCAGCTCTAATAGCTAGTCCCTCGCCCAAACAGAAGATAGCCATAGAATCATGGGTCCTAATTCTCATGCAAAGCATACAAATGGATTTTACTCCACTATCTGCTCAGCTAGAAAGTTCGGAAGCTGCATGCACGCATGCATGACGAAAACACTTAAAAGGGTAAGATGGCCCTGAGGGGACTCCAACTACATATTAGTACACTATCCCCAAGTTCCAAGTAACCACGTTGCGTTAGAAGCAAATACAAAGATTGCCCATGCGGCTTGCTCATTCATTTGAACATCCCCGCCGCCGCCCAATAGTCCATCCACTGTACTGCATCTGCCGATGACAGCGGCTTCAGCTCCTCGACCGTCGGACTGACTTGCTGAGCCACATCCGTGGCGAATGGAGTAGAGTCACCCGCTTCTGAAGGCATCTCGCCAGACGCCCTGATCGTGATATCTGATCGTATCATGAAACGCATGAAGTCCAGAAGCTTGATAGCAGGCTGCAATCGAAGTCAGGTGGGAAAACATTCTGCTAGCCATTGAAACACACGTACCATGCGCTTAATATTTTCCTTCCTCGCGTCCTTGGCACTCGATTCAAGATTTTCAAGCGGCACCAATAATGGAATGAGAGGCAACGGGACACTTGTGATAGGCTTATGCTCTGCTATGGCGTGTGCAACAGGCCGCATAATTGCCCCCCACGCTATCGGCCTCGGGTGTACGAGATTAACCACAATGGGAGGCTCTTCTTCCGCGAAAGCCACATCAAGAATAGCATTTGGTACAGCGTGGGGAGGGATCCAGGTTAGAAGTTGGACCGTGTGTCAATGATGGCTACCTCCTGGGTACCTTCGAGAAAGACACACTTATCCATCGGGCTTCCGGAAGTCCACCTAGACTGATACTCGACTTGACAATGATCGGCAGCCATTCTGTCGTCGACCAAGCTCCTCGTGGGAGCCCTTCCGGTATTTGATCAATTCTTTGCTGGCAACTTGCTGACCTTGTTTAGCAGCGTTTGTCAGATCTGTACACTCCTAGAAGCAGCATACGACTTACCCTTTCACAAACATATTTGCTCGTGGCGTAGCCAGGGCCTTCTGCTACTATACGTGCGTCGTACTCCACTTCTTCCGAGAAAGGCCCATTTGCTCCACACCGGCCTTGAGCAGTTAACGTAGAAGCGGTGAACACGAAACCCGGTTTTGGATGGCGCGGAGAAGATAGTGCGAGGTCTAAAAATTCCGCGTTTCCCTCATTCGAGGTTGTAATAATGACAGTGCCAGTCACAGACGCGCGGATCTACGTTATGTTTAAATGGACTTAAGTTGATTATTTTAGTCAGACTAGCAAACCTTCTGATACAATTGCTCATCCAGACTCGGGTCATCGTGAAAGGTATCAGTTTCTGCATGCACCGGTTTCTCCGACTGCAGAAAGATGATATCCAGGCCGCGTCCTTCGAAACCAGTTTTCTGCCGTTGTTCGTTAGATGCCGCTTCCCTTGATGGACGATTAAAAACATACCACAGACACGTTCCCGCGCTGGAGCAGAGATGAAAGCGAGTATGAACCAAGACCACTCGTGGACCCGGTCAAGATGATCGCATGATCGTCTTGCCTGCGTCGGTCAATCAGAGCAACGGAGTTATCTCTGGCAGAGCTACAAAATCCGACTGAATACTTCTCGACCATGTTCTCGACGCCAGTTTTGGCATCAATGTTGCTTGGACCGTTTCGTGACAATATGACACTGTTCGCGAGCTGGCGAATCAAAGGATTTGAAAAGACTTTCTGTTCGATCTGCGATGCTGATGCCTAGACTCGCGATCTAGCGACGACCTGGGGGAGTCAAGGATGCGGTTTCTAATGAATGTCGCAGACAAGCTAGGCATATGGGGTCAGTAGAGCACAAGCCCTAATTCGCCCTCGACCCACCTGTCAAAGCCTTGAGCAAAAAAGTATCAACCACGTTGGTGGCGTTCACAGCAGCAGCGTAGGCCATGAGCATTGAGCCAGCTCTCAACGTCATCCGTAGTCCAGTTCGTAAGCAAAGGCACATTAATGCCTGCTCCGGTGCTGCCCTCCACCTTTTCGTATCTGTCGCCTATGAATATCATGTTCGCGCATTGGCGGATGTATGAAATGCTCATAGGGTACACCTTGACAGTTCTCTTTCCAGCTCGCAGCATGGGCTATACACTGCATGTCGCAAGAATCATCTCCTCGAGGATCCTGCTGGAAGCAGGAGCCTCCTGATTCGCTTCTTCTACATCTGGCTACCACTGGCATTGTCAGACTCGACAGTAACAAATGTATACGGCCCGAGCTCACCAAACTTCATTCCTAAAATCTGGAAGCCGCTTTTCGTCATTATTTCATGCCCTACTCATGGCTCTATGAGGATTCCGACGTGGATGCGTCTCCGGTCGACCATGATAGTACCGTTCACGTAGGGATCGGCGGTAATGGTGCTCTCTATGGGAGCTGTTACTGACACATCATCGATCCTCCCTACGTTGCAAAGGACAACATCAGAAAGCTGGATGAATATGGATGATACAAGTTTCGGTCTTACGCCTTCCGCATACCCTCGACTGTTGGATGCTTGATAAATACATCTGAAGAAACATAACCTTTGACGTCCGAGAGATTATCTGCTGATACATGATGCGTCGGAACTGTCTGCGAGCAGGTGTTCAACAACTGAGGGGGAACATAAAGACTGAGACCTACCAAAACTTGGCATTCATATGTACCGTAGTGCTGAGAAAATCACCTGATCTTAGAGTTTGGTCCAAATCGCACCCAGTCCCATAATATTTGCTCCAGAAGAAGCAAGTAATGTCCCAAAATTCTGTAGCACCGTAAAGAAAAGACACCTTGACCCCTGTATCCACTATAACATTTTCTATCTTGGGCGCGAGAAGGACCGCTAGGGAAGACCTACTATTACAGACAACGTGAGCCATTCCTTATCTGAAGAAAACCTCAATAATGAACGTATGACATACAATCTATCCGAGAGTCTTCTAGATGTCAACAGCATTCTGCGACAACGACCGTTGCTCCAGGAAGCTAGGCACGACTGCTAAAGTATTCGATTCCGTCTTGACTAGAGTCCAAGATATTTTGCGAGTTGGGAATTGTGGGGGTCGCTGATGGATCTTGGAAGGATGTGGGTGGGTAAATAGACACGCTGCTGATGGAGGCGCCCGGTGTGAGCAGTTGGATATGTAAACCAAGGATATGAAACTATGGCAATGGTGCAGAACCAACATGGATGGAAGTAAGAAAGTTGATGTGTTCCAGAATGCATGCTAGAACCATCTTAGACATTTATGTTGCGCAGATTGTTTCAGTGACTCACGAAAGGACAAGTGAATCGCAGTCAAGTTAGAGATTGAAATGGGTTTTAGAAAGCCAGTGCTGCCTGAGGAACGCAGGCAGAATATTATATCGTTCTCAGATGACCGTGAAGCTAGGGGAGGATATGGAAGAAAAGGAGAACCCTGACGAGTATGTGGGTACAGGTCATTTAGCGCCGACACCTCGTCAAGCTGCAGGCGGCTCGTTTGCGTACCCTGAGGCTCGAAATCCGCCTTGATCCTGTTCATTAGGAATCCGAGAAGTGGAGAGTCATGATTAAACGAGGGCAGGTCGTTTTCTACATCATGTCTATTGCGAATAGCTGTGGTCAGAAGGTTGTTTAAAAAATAAATTCACGTACAGCAATCTAGTGAAGACGACACCTAGGAATTACTGCCAGGCAAAGGAGGGTGTCTGAGTTCCCGACCAGAGCGACGATCTCCTTGCCTGCTCCTGCACGACCTGGTTTGATTTCCTGGGCGGCATGATGAGAAGCTTGATGGAATTCCAAGCATGAGATAGACACGTCATGGCTGTTAGATTTGTCCCAGATAAACAAAGTGACATCTGGGTTATGTTGCGTATTGTCCCAGCCATTCAGGGAGAGATGAAGGTACTTCGTATGGAAATATGTGTGGCGTGAAGAAACCGTGATAGATAATATTTTACAGTCGCGAAGTTGGCTGTCGGGGAAGACAGAAAAGGGTATGGAGGCCGGGTGTACACAGCACTAATAATTTTGAGCGTACAACGATTTCATGAGAGCACAAGTCAGTTACAGTCTGAAAGTGTGAAGCCGTACTTTTGTAATATCACTGCAGTGGCTCAACACTTGCCAGACGACAGATTCCTTCAAAGTCTCGTCATAGCTTGTCAACCGAATTTACGAGATTATTGAACTTCTGCAGCCGCATCATAATGATGATGTCAGGTCAGAGTCCTGAAAAGATTTAAAGCGAGTACATACGAGCACCCACCATCGACTGTATGATTATGACAGAGGTTGTAACTTGTCGCACAGCGAGTCGGTGAGTTGAGTGGCCATATCACATAAATGTTAAACTGTTGCGTCGTGAATGAGTAAGTATATCAATTACAGCTGTTTGCAAAAAGGTTGACAGCAGCGACATTTTGAGAAAAGAACAAAACAAATAAATAATAGATTAATAGCCACATACATATCACAAATTGACCATCATGTATCGGAAAATCAGTCACGACTAGCCGCAATTAATCTTCACAAGCATCAACACCTTGCACTCGAAGACATTCTTGCTTGCGTCGGAGATTCGGAATGCACGTTCTGGCGGATCCTCAAGCTCGGCGCGAAACGGGAGGCATACATTGCGTCGAGCGTTTGCAAGTATATGCGCGTGTTATTTGACCCTATGTATGTGGCTATTTATTTATTTTGTTCTTTCTCAAAAGGTCGCTACTGTCAACCTTTTTGCAAACAGCTGTAATTATGTAATGTTCAAGTCGTTCCGAAAACATCGTGGTATCGGGCTGCCATCACTGAGCGGGCCATGCTCCTATGGAAGGAACGACTGTCTTCCTTCTATATGGTCTTACTAGGAGAGACAAGGATGAAGTAATTTTTCGATTTCCTCCAGAGCTGATTTCTTTTCCGTCGTGACCCCTACTTAGGCCGCCGTGATTCACGTGAAGAGATACCACTTCCACGATATGGCCATTGGCCACCAGCCACAGGCCCAACCCAGGACCCATGTATGAAAAATATAGGCTTTGGCAAGCTGAAGAATGGATGTTTCCAAGTCCGCGAGCAATCACCACTATCATCGAGCTGAAACTTGAGGTAACTGAGTCGAGCGCACAGCCGAACGAGGAACTCACTGAACCAACCCTGGCTAGCACTTCCCAGACCATAGATTCTTTCGATCAAGATACCGTCGCATCAAATTTGTCGATCAGATTGATTTCTATACAGTCCAATGCTCGGTATCGATGTATGTTCTTCCCCTATCTCCCGGGTTAATGCTTTATTTCTATGCACTGTAGTATTCACGATCGGCAATTCCTTAGCTCGACCGTCAGTCCGTACTGCTGCCTACGCTTCCATCGAAAGGACGCGCATTGTCTTCTGTGCGGAAGCACCACTCGTAACTTTGAAGCAGGAGAGAGAGAACCCCAGAAGGCGGAATACCATCTTTGTATAAAGACGCGATGGCGGTCCTCACGCGTTGTCCTCCATAATTAGCATACAGTTTATCCCTTTATTGTTGCGGGTCAAGACTGCACTCTTTCTGCTTTGCATCCAGGTGCAGTCCCAGTTTGCCGAAGCTGGCGGTATCGTGCTTTCCTATGATGACCCGTTGATTGATCACAATGATCGGTAGGATGATGACCCAGGGACGTGGTGGTACGATATGAGTTTGTCTTCCCAGCGTTTCTGGTCCAACTTATTGAGCGATCCGGAGGACCGGCTCTAGCTTCAAGATCAATGTGCAGGACTTCTCCAACTTGACATTGAACCTTGGCCCCTACATGTTCAATCCCGTTTTTCTGGTGTGTCAGTAAAGTACGGGCATTTTACAGCTTCAACGCCACACAAGGAGTC